CTCTACACATATTAATAAAGGTTGCTATGCGCGACGACATGCAGCGAAACTCTTGATCATTTCATTTGGAAAACCCCAAGAACAAGGGTCACTACTCCCCAAATTCTACTCACGTGTCCCATTGCCTTCATGTTTTTGTTGGTGATGAGCTGCCTCACGCACGCACGCCATGGCGCTTGCGGTACAACCGCCCTGAGGGCCGCCGGTGATCCTTTGTGACCGTCGATGAAGAACGTCACCTCGCCGGACGAAAGAAGTCGATGCATGTGCTCGTTCCGGCAGGTCTGCTGGAGCAGGAACTTGAAATTCGTCGCGTGCTCCTTGTCTGCGATTACAGTGCTGAAGTGGATGATCTTGTTGTTGCTGTCATGCATGCAGAGGACGTACATGACTCCCTTCCACGAACCCTTGAGGTGGCCAGCGTCCATGGCCACCATCTGTTCAGAACGGCGGGGCGGAGAATTGGATATTTCGTAAGGGCAAGATCAAACGGTTTAAAGTGCTGGGAGGTCTCGTAAGGCCCTACTTGCGTTGCTGCCAGAATGTTGTTTGGGCTCGCCCTCTCTGAATCCCATCAACTGTTTGGGACGCGGGCGCCCATCAACCTGCGAAGCAATGTCGACGAGTACAGTTCCAGAAATGCGCTGTAATCGAAGCAAGTCCAGAGAAGGGCGAGAGCTGGAGCAACATGTCATCATACGACGTAGTCTCGGATTCGTGCAAACGGACGGTAGAAAATTACCAAAACGGCAAGAGTGAGAGCTAGCACCCCAGGTGAAATGCGAGATGCCGCCAAGGGTAGTAGGAAAGCCTTTTCCGTGGCCGATATGCTGCTTTCTNATGTCATCATACAACATGTTCTCGGATTCGTGCAAACGGACGGTAGAAAATTACCAAAACGGCAAGAGTGGGAGCTAGCACCCCAGGTGAAATGCGAGATGCCGCCAAGGGTAGTAGGAAAGCCTTTTCCGTGGCCGATATGCTGCTTTCTATATTGCTGCTGTGTACGAATCTGTAGGCTTGCACCTGGATCAATACCGGCCCTAAAACACACCCCAATTGTAACGATAGTAGGATGAGGTCGCAATGTTACCCAACCCTTGTCGGTTGACGCGGGCATCCCCCCCGTTTTTTCTCACTTTCTCTTTCTCTGGGTGCCTTCTTTTCTGTCGGTTCTTTCAATTGAAATAAATTTTGAAGGGAACAGCAGTCCTTGTCCACCGTTCCTCGCACGGATGGCGTTAACCGTTAAACAAGCTACTGCTCGTTTTGAACAACACTGGGAACACGCTGGTTGAGGTACATGCAACCACAGCAATGTCGGTCACAGCGTTGCCGTGGTGTTGAAGGTACCACGGTCACAAGTAGCAGCATTTTTGTTGACAAGGCAAAAGTGCCGAAGGAAGACATACACTCGAACACAGAGATATTGCCCGTTCGAGACAAAAAGCAGGTAGTAGTCGATTATCCATTACAGCTGACACCACTTCAAACCTCCACCGGATCTCCGTGGTGCAATTGTGCGGCCCCATGTTGTTAGAGACGGTACACACACGTAGTACACGGCCTAACACGAACAAGTGGGGGAACTGCTGTCGCCATAATGAACACTTGACCCCATTGCGCTACGAGACATGGCGCGCCAACCAAAGTGCAAAATTCAACCCGGGGCTCAAGTCTGAAGCTGAGGAGCAATTGCTGATGGCCTTCCTCGGACCACTTGGTATAAGCCTCATATGTCCCCAGAGGTGCGCTATAATACATATGCATAGTAACCGACTTTGCTGGTGAGCTCGAGACATGGCTGGTCGTAATTTCGATTTTGTGTGGCTGGAAAGTCAGCGCGCAATCGATTGTTACCTGAAAATGAAAATCACTTGTGCCTGCGCAAACCTCGCTGCGGGTTTCAGAACAACACTGCTTCTATCCCCCGCGAGTTCATTCCTCGAAAACAAATGATGTAGAGGGTTCAAGGATGCTGTGTCGTACCGTTCGACCTAAAAGCGCATCGACGTGACAAACGTATTGTTNTTTCATTCATCGACAACAAATGATGTTGAGGGTTCAAGGATGCTGTGTCGTACCGTTCAACCTAAAAGCGCATCGACGTGACCAACGTATTGTTTGTGACTTTTTCAGTGGCTCTCCACGGCTTTCAATGGCCAATGGCGCTCTCCAGGGCTTGAATACATAGTCTACCTAATAGCTTGGTAAATCTCAGCGAAAATGAAAAGCCAGCAACGTCTGCACGAGAATCACGAAAGAGATGCACTCGCCTTGGGGACACTGTGCGCGGCGACGTAGGCGGCCTTACCCAGCATCAAGAAGCTTTTGACGAACCGGTTGTCGGGACTCATCTATGGGAAAACGCGTGCACCCGGGATAACAACCACAGGAAGGTCAGAACCCGAACGACACACTGGGCTGCACGTCGCTCACACATCGCGTGCGGGGATGGATCATTTATTTGGATGGAGACGAGTAAGAAGCGAGGGTAGCCTACAATAGTTGTGCCCAGAGCCTACGGAACGTGACGACGGCACATGTACAACATGCTAGGGTACATGTGGTATTGCTGTTGTCTGGAGTCCTTGCCCAACCTTGCACGGCTGCATCACGTGCACATTGAACAAAAGGGTCCCGATCAAACTCTTACCTCGACGGTGGCGACCGAACCCGGACAATCGCGCTCGATCCCTTCGACAAGGGATGGAAGACGCGAAATGGCACCCGCTTCATCCTCCTTAGACGCGGTCGCAATGCGCTTCTTCGCGCGTTGTGATTGCCGGTCGGAGACGGTAAACCCCACGGTCTTCAGGGTCCTCTTGATCGCGGGACCGGCGATCTTGGGGTTGGCCCTAACCAACTGGTCCACCAGGGGTTGTACCACTGCGGAGCTCGTCCGCCCACCCCCAGCACAGTCGACATGCGAGCCCTCTACCTTGGTGATTTTGAAATCACCCNGCGCGTTGTGATTCCCGGTCGGAAACGGTTATCCCCACGGTCTTCAAGGTCCTCTTGATCGCGGGACCGGCGATCGTGGGGTTGGCCCTGACCAACTGGTGCGATCTTGAAATCACCCCCCTTCTGTAGGCAGCCTTTAACAAACCAACTTGTGCAAGTCTTGCAAACCAGGTGAATTTGCCGACTGCCGGCACCCTTTCCATTCTTCATGGAACGGCC